CTTGTTAAATGTGTATATGCCAAAATTAAGAAAAAACACAGTTTTATATCAATATTTAGCAGAGACTGGCGATGAAATGGCTACGCAAAAAGTGTCAAACTAACCTTATATTAATATGTGACAATTTTTCAACCCCATGGCGATTCAACTGTGTTCGTGGGATCTGAGTGCTTTTAGGATATCTGGGGATATGTAGACTATGGGGGAAATATGATTTTATGTATTTTAAAGTGTTTTGTGAAGTTTATAACAGTGAAATATTTTCTGTACCTGGAGATAATTGAGTTTACTACAGCAACTTAACCCAATTATCTCCAGGATGTAGAGGAGGGATTATACTGATTGTGTGGGAGTGTTTTACATTGTAACTGTATGCTGATTGGTGAATGTCTATGTGTCCCTGTCCCCAACAAGGTCCACGTGGGTGTCACACTTGTTGAGAGACCTGCATAAAAAGCCAAGCTGGGGCTTCCATTAAACAGATCGTTTTACCCCTTCATGAAGTCATTGCTCATGTTTGGGGGATTGGGAGTTATAATCACTACACCTTCATCTACACTTGGATTTTGGGAGATTCTGCACAGATATACTCAGCTGGAGTATAGGGGATCCATTACACTGGTGGCAAGTGGCGAGATACTTTCTCCCGAATGGATATCCTGAACCGAAAGAAGGAGTGAATGGCCCACAGATACAAACGGCTTAAACGAACGACAATGAAGGAACTGCTGGAAGCTTGAGGCATAGTGGCAAGTAACAAACCAAAAGCCACAATAATAGCCAAACTAATGGAGAGCGACCGAAACGTTCCAATAGATAATACAGAGGAAACAGAGTTCCAAAAAGAGGTAAGATGGAAACTCATCATTGTGGGAATTAACCCATAGCAGGATATTATTATACAAATAATGGCACAAGTGACACAAGCACATAATACCTGAGTTCAGGCAACAGGAACGCAACCAGGGGATGTGATAGCGCTACAGCGATCTACTAACGGACAGTCACGAAAAATCAACTATGCTGCATTTAAGGCATTTACAGATGGTGAGATGGACATTGACAGCTATTTGCAGGACTGTGAATGACAGCGTGCATTGGAGAACCTAGAGAAAGCTAGCTGGACTGCGCTACTGAGCAGAAAGCTGTCAGGCTGAGCAGCCGAAGCCTACGGAGCCGTGCCAGATAAGGAGGTAAAAAGTTACGATAAGGTGAAACAAATATTGTTGGTCCGATATGCAGTCATGCCAGAGGCCTACCAGAGGAAATTCGGGGGTCTCAGGAAATGGAGCAGAGACTCTTATGCAGAATGGGCATTCCGCATGCACCGCGCTGCCCGCAAGTGGATGCAGGGGTGCCAGGCGACTACTTTGGCGGAAGCCCTACAATTATTATTGATGTAACAATTTTATGACCACAGTCCACCAAAGGTTAGAGACTGGGTTCGAAACCTCAAGCATCAGACAGTGGAGGAGGCTGCACGATTAGCCGACGAGTTCCATGACGGCAATCGGACGAGCAATGCGCCAACAAACCCAGGATACCGGAAAGCAGCCCCTATGTACTACGAGTGCAATCAAATAAGGCACATCAAGCCAAACTGCCCCCAGCACACTTCAGCAGATGGGGCGACAACCAGCACCACCTACTAAAGAACAGCAAGAGGGTCATACGTAGTACCCTAATCAGGACACCTCTGAACACTGGTCTGTATTACATGAGGTGAACCCCGTACAGGCAGCCGGCGACAACATGGTGCACCATCGACAAACAGTATGGATAAATGGACAAAAGGCTCGAGGCCTGAGAGACACTGGAGCTACCATAACCGTGGTACAGCCACACCGAGTTAAGCCATCCCAACACACCAGACGCACAGTGGCCATTAGGGTAACAGGAGGGACCATCCAGAAGATGCCAACAGCCCGGGTCCATCTGGATTGGGGCACCGGAACTGGAAGTGGGGATTATGCCAGACTTGCCAGCGGAGGTACTCCTCGGAAATGACCTGGGGTGTTTGATCCACCAACGCAGGAAGGAGCTCTACCTGGTCACCCTGGGTTAACAGGAAAACAACTAAAGAACACCATAGAAATAGTTATACCCCTACAGCAGACTCGAGCGATGGAGACCACACACTCTCAGGAACCTCAGGTAGGTACTGATACACCCCGCGTCCTACTGGGACACTCCACAAGATTTTGAAAAGGAACAGAGGGAGGATCCCACCCTAGGGAGGTACAGACGAGCCACAGACAAGCCCCAGGGAGACTTAGAACAGGAACGGTTCCAGTGGGAGAAGGGACTATTGGACAGGGTGACAGAAGGGACCGGGGAGGGGGCCAGTTAGGTGACCAAGAGACAACTGGTAGTAACCTGAAAGTACCAGGCTGAGTTACTCCGGATTAGCCACAATATTCCATTAGCAGGACACCTAGGGATGAAAAAGACGAGGGATAGGTTAACGCAAACGTTCTTCTGTCTTGGAGTTACCCAGGATTTACACGATTATTGTAGGACATCTGACGTGTGCCAAAGAATAGGGAAACGGGGGGACCACCCCAGGGCCAAACTCAGATCCCTCCCAATAATAGGGGAGCCCTTTTACCAGGTAGTGGTCGACTTAATAGGACCCCTAAGTAAGCCCAGCTTACTTAGGGGTAAAAAATATATCCTCACGATAGTAGATTACGCCACTATATACCCTGAGGCGGTGGCCCTCTCTAATATTCAGGCCGAGACTGTAGTAGAGGTGCTAGTACAAGTATTTACTAGAGTAGGATTTCCCCTGGAAATTGTTCACAGTTCACGTCGGCTATTACCCAGCAGCTCTGACAGAGCTGCGGGGTAAAACCGATCCTAAGATCCCCTTACCACCATCAGACGAACTGACTTTGTGAATGTTTTAATGGCACCCTTAAACAGATGCTGAAGACCTTCACAGAGTCCTGTCGCAACTGGGAAACTTTTCTTCCCCATTTACTGTTCGCCTACCGGGAAGTGCCCCAGGAATCAACCGGCTTCTCTCCCTTTGAATTATTGCATGGGAGGAGGGTGCGGGGATCCCTGGACCTGGTACGAGAACATTGGGAGGGCGATATAGGAGAAGCAGAAACCCCTATCGTACCATACGTTCTGGAGTTGAGGTACTGTTTGCAGATCCTGATGGAAACGGTTCAAGAAAACTTGCAAACGGCCCAAAGGCGTCAGAAACGTTGGTATGACCGGGGACCTAGAGACCGTATCCTAGAGCCAGGACAGAAAGTTTGAATTTTGAGGCCCACATTGCAAGCTTACTGGCAAGGTCCCTTATGTAGTAGTGAGCTGTTCAAATGAACGGATCAGGAGGTCCTTTCATGTGAATATGCTCAAACCTGGAAAGGACAGAGGAGATATCTGCAGTTTGCGCACCCGCCTTCAAAGACAGCGAAGATATTCCCTTGCACGGCATGCTCCCCACCAGCTGACTTAAGCCCTGAGAAAAGGCAACAAGCAACTAGCAATTGCTAGGGGAATTTCGCGATATGTTCTCTGTCCTACCAGGATACACGACGCTGGCAGTTCACAGTGGAGACCCCAGGTCAGGTACCCCTCAGGCAGCAACCATATCATATCCCTGAGGCCGTTAGGGAGAGCATGCACAAGGAAATACAGGACATACTAGAATTAGGGGTGATTGAACCCTCCCAAAGTCTTTGGACTTCACCGGTGGTCCTAGTGCCAAAGCGGGATGGTTTTTGTGTCGATTACAAAACAACCGATCAGTTACAGATGCCTACCCCATGCCCAGAGTAGACAAACTATTAGACCGGATGGCAGGAGGGAATTATTTGACCACTATAAATCTGTGCAAAGGATATTGGCAAATCCCCTTGGAGCCTGAAGCCATACCTAAGTCAGTATTCGTCACCCCATTTATTATAATTATTATTATTATTGCCATTTATATAGTGCCAACAGATTCTGTGGCGATTTACAGTATTGGCCTGAATCAGTTCAAGGTCATGCCATTTGGGATGAAGAATGCCCCCGCTACCTTTCAGAGGGTGGTTGATCGGCTATTAGAGGGATTTCAGAGCTTTGTCTGTGCATACCTGGATTATATAGCTATATTCAGTCGCACATTGGAAGCTCACCTGGAACACATATCTGTGGTGCTCAAAAGAATTCAAACCGCCGGTTTAACATTGAAGCCTGACAAATGCGATGTAGGGATGGCAGAGGCTCAATACTTAGGCCACTGAGTGGGTTCCGGCAAGCAGCGACCCGAGCCAGCCAAAATTAAAGCCATAACCCAGTGGCCACAATCCCGTACCAAAACAAGTAATGACATTTTTAGGGACAGCCAATTATTACCGGAAGTTTGTACAGGAATATAGTACCATAGCTAAGCCCCTCACTGATCTCAGAAAAAAGCCCCTACCCAGACAAGTTGTATGGTCCCCAGAGTGTGCAAACTCCTTCCAGAAGTTGAAGACGGCCCTAAGCAAGGCCCCTGTATTAGCAGCACCTGATCATACTAAAAGATTTCTCGTTCATACAGATGCCTCAATGTTTGGACTGGGAGCCGTATTAAGCCAAGTCGGGTAAGATGGCATGGAGCACCCGGTGGCATATCCGAGCAGAAAATTGATACCCAGAGAAGTCAGTTATGCCACATAGAAACATAGGAACATAGAATGTGACGGCAGATAAGAACCATTCGGCCCATCTAGTCTGCCCAATTTTCTAAATACTTTCATTAGTCCCTAGCCTTATCTTATAGTTAGGATAGCCTTATGCCTATCCCACGCATGCTTAAACTCCTTTACTGTGTTAACCTCTACCACTTCAGCTGGAAGGCTATTCCATGCATCCACTACCCTCTCAGTAAAGTAATACTTCCTGATATTATTTTTAAACCTTTGTCCCTCTAATTTAAGACTATGTCCTCTTGTTGTGGTAGTTTTTCTTCTTTTAAATATAGTCTCCTCCTTTACTGTGTTGATTCCCTTTTATATATTTAAATGTTTCTATCATATCCCCCCTGTCTCGTCTTTCCTCCAAGCTATACATGTTAAGATCCTTTAACCTTTCCTGGTAAGTTTTAACCTGCAATCCATGAACCAGTTTAGTAGCCCTTCTCTGAATTCTCTCTAAAGTATCAATATCCTTCTGAAGATACGGTCTCCAGTACTGTGTACAATACTCCAAGTGAGGTCTCACCTGTGTTCTGTACAATGGCATGAGCACTTCCCTCTTTCTACTGCTAATACCTCTCCCTATACAACCAAGCATTCTGCTAGCATTTCCTGCTGCTCTATTACATTGTCTGCCTACGTTTAAGTCATCAGAAATAATCACCCCTAAATTCCTTCCCTCATATGTTGAGGTTAGGACTCTATCAAATATTCTGTACTCTGCCCTTGGGTTTTTACGTCCAAGATGCATTATCTTGCACTTATCCACATTAAATGTCAGTTGCCACAATTCTGACCATTTTTCTAGTTTACCTAAATCATTTGCCATTTGGCTTATCCCTCCTGGAACATCAACCCTGTTACATATCTTAGTATCATCAGCAAAAAGACATACCTTACCATCAATACCTTCTGCAATATCACTAATAAAAATATTAAAGAGAATGGGTCCAAGTACAGATCCCTGAGGTACCCCACTGGTGACAAATCCAAGCTTTGAATATATTCCATTAACTACAACCCTCTGTTGCCTGTCACTCAGCCACTGCCTTACCCATTCAACAATATTGGAATCCAAACTAAAAGATTGCAGTTTATTGATAAGCCTTCTATGTGCAACAGTGTCAAAAGCCTTACTGAAATCTAGGTAAGCAATGTCTACTGCACCACCCTGATCTATAATTTTAGTTACCCAATCAAAAAAGATCAATAAGATTAGTTTGGTATGATCTCCCTGAAGTAAACCCATGTTGTCTCTGATCTTGAAATCCATGTGTTTTTAGATGTTCATCAATCCTATCTTTTAACATGGTTTCCATCACTTTCCCCACTACTGAAGCAAGGCTTACTGGCCTATAGTTGCCCGACTCCTCCCTATTACCTTTCTTGTAAATGGGCACAACATTCGCTAACTTCCAATCTTCTGGGACTACTCCTGTTAACAATGATTGGTTAAATAAATCTGTTAATGGTTTTGCTAGTACACCACTAAGCTCTTTTAATAGCTTTGGGTGTATTCCATCAGGTCCCATTGACTTATTTGTCTTTACTTTTGACAGTTGAAATAGAACCTCTTCCTCTGTAAACTCACGTGTAATAAATGACTAATTTATCCTTTTTCTTAATTGAGGTCCCTTTCCTTCATTTTCATCTGTAAATACAGGACAAAAATATTCATTGAGGCAGTCAGCTAGACCTTTATCCTCTTCTACAAACCTTCCTTCTTTTGTTTTTAATCTAACTAATCCTTGTTTTACTTTTCTTTTCTCATTTATGCATCTAAAAAAAATTGTATTCCCCTTTTTTACTGACTGTGCTATTTTCTCTTCTGTGATTTGGAAGCTCTTATAACTTGCTTAGTCTCTTTCTGCCTAATCTTATAGATCATTTTGTCTTCCTCACTCTGTTTTTTTTTATAATTCCTAAATGCTTACTTTTTGTTTTTAACTATTTTGGCCACATCTGTGGAGTACCACAGTGGTTTCTTGAATTTTTTGCTTTTACTGACAAGCCTAATGCAATTTTCTGTTGCCTTCAATAGTGCAACTTTTAAATAATCCCATTTCTCTTGGACTCCATTTAAATTGCTCCAGTCTGATAATGACTCCTCTACATATATTCTAATTTTAGAAAAGTCTGTTTTTCTAAAGTCTAAAACTTTTGTTTTTGTGTAGTGTGACTCAGTCACTGTTCTTATATTAAACCACACTGACTGATGATCACTGGATCCTAAACTTTCACCTACAGTAATATCTGATACCAAATCTCCATTTGTTAACACTAAATCTAGTATGGCCTCTGTGACGAAATGCCTTTTGTCCCTGGATTGTTAGGTGACAAGCTGCCCTTTGCCCCCGGCTTTTGGAGGAGCCTGATTGCCAGCCTCCTTCCTCATGACTATGGCCCTGGGGTGTATTGCCATTTAAAAAGACTATTTGGGGCTTATTGGCTTCTAAAGACAGTTTCTTCCCATTTGAATCCATGGGAAGGTGTGTTTCTTCCCCTCCCCCGTTTCCTGTCTATTGTTCTCCAGCAGGGCGTTGTCCCAGGCACACTGCCAAACCAGTTGGAATTGACTGCTTTTGTCCCTCCTTGGTTTCTCAACAGCCCTTGCTATGCTTTACCCCATGGAAAATCTACTCTGTTCATGGGATCTGAGCGCTGTTCACCTAGATTGGGCGCTCAGATCCGAGCTATCTGGGGATAGGTTAAATGTGGGGGTTCTGTCTAATAAAATAAGAATTATGTATTTTTATGTACTTTACGTATTTTGCTGTTAGTGTTAAATGTAGATATTTTCTGTACCTGGAGATAATTGAGTTTACTGCAGTGCCTTAAGCCAATTATCTCCAGGATGGAGAGGAGGGATTTCATTGTGTATGTGAGAGTGTTATCATGTTAATTAGTGTTCCCATTGGTTTGTGTCCCTTTTGTCACAGTTTACCACCAGGTCCAGGGGGTGTGCCTCTGACCTGAAAACTTGTATATAAGGAGTAATAAACGCTCATTGGAGTCAGATCATCTTGTACCTTCATGAAGTTTCGGCTCATGTTTGGGGGATTGGAGAAATTACACTCTGGGGATTGCTATAATCACTATACTCCCCAGGGTATAATCACTAAGCTCTGCTAAGAGCTTGTTCCTGTTCCTGCTCTCTGGAATTCGGAGAGAGGTCGACCTGCTGGAAGCTGGACTCTGGTCCTGGGTCCAGAGTGGGTGGAGACGGCGAGACACCAACCAAGCTGCGGCGGTTCGTGGGGTCTGCAGTGGTTATGGTGTCAGGCAGAGTGCTTGGAGTCCTCGGAAAGCACTAGGAGCATCCGTCGGCGGAAGGTACCCGGTCGGGGTGCCAGCGTTTCCGTTACAGCCTCTTTACGAGTTAGCTCCTCAACAACTTGTTTTAGAGACAATCCCAGTAGGGAGTTTAGAATATGTGTGCTCCTGGCACAAGTAGCTAATTTTGTTTTCCAATTTACATCAGGAAGATTAAAGTCACCCATGATGATAACTTCCCTCTTCATTGTCATTTTAGCTATTTCCTCGTAGATTATCTAACTCTTCAATTTGTCCTGGGGGCCTATAAATCACACCTACACGAGTTATTGTGACCAAATTCTAATGTAACCCAAACGGACTCTATGTTTGCCTCACTAACTTTTATTAGGCTAGATTTTATGCTATCCTTCAGATACAAGGCCACCCCTCCCCCTTTCTTGCCTTCCCTATCTTTCCTATATAAAGAGTACCCTGGTATTGCTATGTCCCAGTCATTTTTCTCATTATACCATGTCTCAGTAACAGCGACTAAATCTACACTACCAGTTGCCATTATCGCCACAAGTTCATGGATCTTATTCCCTAAACTGCGAGCATTTGTAGACATGACTCTAAGCTTATCATTTTTTAACACACTTGCTACTGGCACCTTCTGTCCTTGTTTTGGGGGACAATTGGATTGATGTTTTATCACCCTTTTGCCCCCCCCTCCTAGTTTGCCCCGCCACTGTAGCTCTAGTTTGGGCCCTCAAGAAACTTCAACCTTATTTGTACGGGCTCTCCTTCACAGTCATGACTGATCACAACCCCCTGATTTGGCTCAAAAGAGTGGCAGGAGACAACCCAAGACTCTTGAGATGGAGCTTGGCACCTCAGCCATATAACTTCACCATGCAGTATAGACCAGGAAAACAGAATGCCAATGCAGATGGGTTGTCCCGCCAAACTGAACTGCTTCCTGGACATCCCCAAGCCAACCCGTTAGGGTCTAGGCGGGTATGCCATCCCATGGAACTGGGGGGTACCTATGTGACAAAATCCCCTATTTTGTGTGTACCTGTGCCATTTTGTATTCTGTTCGGGCATTTCATACTGTTTTCACCCCCTATTTCATCTGACGAACTAATCACTGAACACCGACGACCCTCCTGGCTCATTAAGTTGAAACAAACCACAAGAATGCAGTGTTCTCTTTGTTCACATAGCCGAATGCCACGTGGTGAAGAAAATGGCGGCTATCTTGTCGCACGAACGCAGGCAGCGGGACTTGGTCGTCGAGTGCCTGGAACTCTGAGGTGGCCACTCAACGACCCGAACACCGGTGAAAACCTACGAATGCCTGCTTCTGGTTGCGGCAAGCTAGGTAAACCCGGTTCGATGGTTTGTTCGACTAAAACTACCGAACCATTACTATATTTATTCACATTTCGGATAGTTTCACTGGTTTCCGTTCAGATAAAAACTTACAAACTAGACCAACTGCTACCGCTAAAACCATGGAACTAGTTCTGGGCAGACTTATCCAGAGCAGTCAGTCAATCCTTCAACCCCATGGCGATTCGACTGTGTTTGTGGAATCTGAGCGCTTTTCGGATATGTTGGGTGCTCAGATCCAAGCTATCTGGGGATATGTAGACTACAGAGGTATGTTTATGCGAAATATGATTTTATGTATTTTAAAGTGTTTTGTGACGTTTATAACAGTGAAATACTTTCTGTACCTGGAGATAATCGAGTTTACTACAGCAGCTTAACCCAATTATCTCCAGATGTAGAGGAGGGATTATACTGTTTGTGTGGGAGTGTTTTACATTATAACTGTATGCTGATTGGTGTATGTCTTTGCGTCCCTGTGCCCAACAAGGTCCACGTGGGTGTCACCCTTGTTGAGAGACCTGCATAAAAGGCCAAGCCGGTGCTTCCATTAAACTTATCGTTTTACCCTTTCATGAAGTCTTGGCTATAATCACTACACCTTCTTCTACACTTGGATTTCGGGAGATTCTGCACTCAGCTGGAGTATAGGGGATCTGTTACAGATGCGTATTAGGGACTTTAACTTTTGGCTTGTGAATGGTGTCAGAAACAAGGATTTGGCTTAATTTCTCATGGTAGCTCTATTTGGAATGGAAATAAACAGTACAAAAATATGGTTTGCATCTTTCTCAAAAGAGAACAAATGTTCCCAGTGAGCAGTTCTAAAGTTTTGGTAGGACATATTTAAACTAAGAGCGGGGCAAAAGGGTGATAAAACATCCAAATGCCCCCAAAACAAGGACATAAAGTGCCTGTAGCAAGTGTGTTAAAAAATGATAAGCTCAGTGTTATGT